TAGTAATTTGATAATTTATTCATGCTTTTTTTGAAAGGTACACATGAACAACCATGAGTGTTATAACATTGGTAACAATGTGTTAGCTCTAAATTATTAGTTATAATAATTAAAAATCTAAAGGGAGATAACTGCAACAAAACATAGGCATCTTGCGTAAGGTACATAACATTAAAATATGCATCTATATATGCTCTGTATTATCTTGTAATTCAAACCTGATGTTTCAGTATTTTATTGTATAGATTGCTGTCATCTCTGTAAGCAGTATAACTGTACGATCTTGAAAAGCTTTGAAACTTGTGCACGTCCAGGATAAGAATTTGCCTGCTGTATCCAGCTGTATGTCGTAAGAGGTGACTAAATATGTGGGTAGAATTGGTGGATTTCTTCAGTGGCCTCTAGTTAAAGGACATTGGACAGACCGTAATTGATCTGCTTACACTATTGCCACACTACAAATCTCTCTTTTCTCTCCTTCTTTCCTTTCAATGGTGTCTCTCTAGGAATCTGTCTTCGTATGACCTTTGCTGTGGTGTCTCTCTCGGAATATGTCTTTGTATGACCTTAGCTGTGGTGTTTCTCTAGGAATATGTCTTTGTATGACCTTAGCTGTTGTGTATCTCAAGGAATCTGTCTTTGTATGGCCTTAGCTGTGGTGTCTCTCAAGGAATCTGTCTTTGTATAACCTTAGCTGTGGTGTCTCTCTAGGAATATGTCTTTGTATTACCTTAGCTGTGGTGTCTCTCTAGGAATCTGTCTTCGTATGGCCTTTGCTGTGGTGTCTCTCTCGGAATATGTCTTTGTATGGCCTTAGCTGTGGTGTCTCTCAAGGAATCTGTCTTCGTATGACCTTTGCTGTGGTGTCTCTCTAGGAATATGTCTTTGTATTACCTTAGCTGTGGTGTCTCTCTAGGAATCTGTCTTCGTGTGACCTTAGCAGTGGTGTCTCTCTCGGAATATGTCTTTGTATGACCTTAGCTGTTGTGTATCTCAAGGAATCTGTCTTTGTATGACCTTCGCTGTGGTGTATCTCAAGGAATCTGTCTTTGTATGACCTTAGCAGTGGTGTCTCTCTAGGAATCTGTCTTTGTATGACCTTAGCTGGGGTGTATCTCAAGGAATCTGTCTTTGTATGGCCTTAGCTGTGGTGTCTCTCAAGGAATCTGTCTTCGTATGACCTTAGCTGTGGTGTCTCTCAAGGAATCTGTCTTCGTATGACCTTAGCTGTGGGGTCTCTCAAGGAATCTGTCTTTGTATGACCTTAGCAGTGGTGTCTCTCTAGGAATCTGTCTTTGTATGACCTTAGCTGTGGTGTATCTCAAGGCATCTGTCTTTGTATGACCTTAGCTGTGGTGTCTCTCAAGGAATCTGTCTTTGTATGACCTTAGCCATTAGACATTAAACCCTAAACAAACTAACAAGGTAAATAATTTAATATGACAATACTGGACGCAAGTGTCTTTGTATGACCTTAGCTGTGGTGTCTCTCTAGGAATCTGTCTTCGTATGACCTTAGCAGTGGTGTCTCTCTCGGAATATGTCTTTGTATGGCCTTAGCTGTGGTCTCTCTAGGAATATGTATTCGTATGACCTTAGCTGTGGTGTCTCTCAAGGAATCTGTCTTCGTATGACCTTTGCTGTGGTGTCTCTCTCGGAATATGTCTTTGTATGGCCTTAGCTGTGGTGTCTCTCAAGGAATCTGTCTTTTTATGACCTTAGCTGTGGTGTTTCTCAAGGAATCTGTCTTCGTATGACCTTAGCTGTGGTGTCTCTCAAGGAATATGTCTTTGTATGACCTTAGCTGTGGTGTCTCTGTAGGAATATGTCTTTGTATGACCTTAGCTGTGGAGTCTCTCAAGGAATCTGTCTTTGTATGACCTTAGCCATTAGACATTAAACCCTAAACAAACTAACAAGGTAAATAATTTAATATGACAATACTGGACGCAAGTGTCTTTGTATGACCTTAGCTGTGGTGTCTCTGTAGGAATATGTCTTTGTATGACCTTAGCTGTTGTGTATCTCAAGGAATCTGTCTTTGTATGACCTTAGCTGTGGGGTATCTCAAGGAATCTGTCTTCGTATGACCTTAGCTGTGGGGTCTCTCAAGGAATCTGTCTTTGTATGACCTTAGCTGTGGTGTCTCTCAAGGAATCTGTCTTTGTATGACCTTAGCTATTAGACATTAAACCCTAAACAAACTAACAAGGTAAATAATTTAATATGACAATACTGGACGCAAGCAAAAGCCTATATATCCAGATCATAAGTGTGGTCAGCCAGCCTCTAGGCTGACGCCCCAACAATGAATTACTTCATTATTGTCAAATTCATGATTATAAAAACATTCTGGTTGTGCCCAGTGCTTATTCAGCCAGGGGTCTATTGTTTTATTGTTGGTGATATGTTGACGTGACTTGGCAGGGAACTTTTATGGTTGACCACTGTTTCTTTAAAGGAGTACTTTCTTATTATTTAAGTATTTATTTGTTTAGGTACAATATATCGTGTATATATCAATGTCACTAACAATGAAAATATCTAATGAATTGAGACATGTGTTGTTGATGGCCTAATTTATATGACAGGTAGCTGAGAGTAGTATAATGCTTATTATTTAGGTGTGGGGTTTGTTTTCATTGAGAACCAAATACTGTCCAGTCCTACTGACTGTTTAGCAAATAACAATATCTTGATCGAGGTTGAAAACAGGCTTATGATAGTGAGAGTACAGATAGCATGATGAGATGGCATGGGGCCCATACTGGAGGACAAACTGTCATTACGGTAGCAATAAATCCTTCACAACAATACAATATCAATTATAATCATCAAGTCGTAATCCATTGTGTTGTGTTAGTTGGACCATGAACAACTAGGTTTGTTGGTGGTTTTACCTCTGGCAACCATTAGGGACATACCAATATACTCAACAGAAATAGAAGGTAGTATTCAGTTTATACTGGCTCAAATACATGGCAATGAAGGTTGACTAAGCTAAATGAATTGTGATCAATTCATGATTAAAATATCTGAGTTTTTGATTAAAAGTTATATGATATGTGGCAAATTTCCGAGGTCTACGAGTATATCAGCCGAAACATCTACTGTAGTACTAACTCATGTCTGTATACAATTATATCAAGATATTTTATTGTATATACACCTCTGGAATTCTCAGTTTAAAGTTATTTATAAAGTTAAGATAAGAAGAAACCAATTTTCTTCGTGTAACTATAGTTATTTTTAAGTGCGACCTACACAAGCTTGATTTCAGGAACATCTTTTTATAAGTACATTGTAAGATTTAGAACTGTGAGAACAATGAAATTGATACTGACAGAATTGTGTTAGCTGCTAAATGAAGCATCCCTATTCTACGCTTGTCTTGGCATCTAGTCTTCTTGTACTATATACAGAGTGGTAGATTAAAACATTTTGTGATAAATTCCTCCCGACAGACCAACAGCCCTACATACATACTTAACTTTCATATTGGGTATCAATGATATCGGATATGACGAAGTGACAACCCAGATACATTTAACATTTCTACATGTCAAAGTACTAATACAGAAAGTTCACCTATTGGATGTGCCGATAGATAGGAATGATAATGGTAGATATGAGTTATCGCCCCCGTCCATCCCATGCTAGAATCCCTGTAAGCACTCCTCTACAGCAGCCATCATGCAGTTGTTCGGTGGCTTGTTACCTTGACTAGTGATCGTGATAAACTTAAACTTTTATGAGAATTTTCATTTCAAAACATCTAAACATTTACCTTTATCCTGAATAAAAATATTTTGAACATTTTATTACTTAAAAAGTTGTTCACATACTGTTAAGCTTACTTGGTTTAGAATAACATGCCAAGGCAAGTGTAGTTATTCAAAGTTTTGTTAGCATAATCACAGGTTATCGACTCTATTATAGCTATGAAATGTCCATCTTTTTGAAGTGTCCATGGCTTTAAACAGGAAGGATTTATCCATTTTGTCATATTCATGTGATTATTTAATTACTGACATATGTACATTTTCTATCTTGAAATGTGAAAGGTTTGAAGTTTTAATCAAACTAACCATGGTTTAACGTCTAGGCCATAAGACTGAATCCCATGGTGCCATTTCACACCGATGTAACTGCTGATAAGATAGCCTTGTGCAGAGAACACACTCCCTTACACATGCTTCCCACCACATGTGTAAGCCACCAAATCTACACACTGCTCTATCTACAAGTTTAGCTGGACATACATACACACTTTGTGAAGAAGCTAATTATTGAAATTTACAACTCCATCATCCTTCAAATTTCCAGATTATAGGCCATAATTCACTGATCAAGGTTGATACTCTTTGATATGGTAGGTAGGATGTTTATAATGTTATAATGTTATCCCCATGCACTGTAATTCAGTGCTTTGAAAATTGTAAATTATTTGCCGGTGATTTCAAAATTAACCAAAGTTAATGGCTTGTTTCATCATATACTTTTAGCGTAATAATTAACTGCTTAGTAAATATTTATTTTCTCTTTATCAAATTTCATGTGGAGTTGTTATGTAATTTGTAAATACCTCTGGCTAGTATCACATTTTGTTGATATATATTACAAAAATAATGCAAGTAATAGTTTTATCTTTGCTTTATATAATCGCATGGTTTAAAGTCTTGATAAATGAGGATCACTTTTTATTACCTCGTCAGAATTTTTCCAATACCACTCATTCTTCAAAGTATTTTACACCAAGTCCACCAGCTTCATTGCTTGTTTGCAGCTATACTGTAAGATATTAATGTAAATCGAGACAAGACTGGCAGACGGCATGTGTATAAAGATTTAATGGAATATCATCAATTTCTTATCACCGACTGCGCTCGTCTCTCACACTGGTGCCAACTCTGGGAGGAGATGTGATGTCCCGAAACCTTTGTGCTGCAGATAATTGTTATTCATCTTTCAAAGTGGATATGAATTTCTATGAATTTCAGAAGGAGACTCCGTCTGACCAGCAGCTCCACCTGGCGGCACTCCAAGGAAACTTTGACCTCCTCAAACGTGTGCTGGACAGTGGAAAAGTTCACGTGGACTGTAAAGACAAGGTAAGCTTGTATATTATATTGTAATCAACACCAAGTGTTCACATGGACTGTAAAGACAAAGTAAGCCTGTATATTATATTGTAATCAACACCAAGTGTTCACGTGGACTGTAAAGACAAGGTAAGCTTGAATATTATATTGTAATCTACACCAAGTGTTCACGTGGACTGTAAAGACAAGGTAAGCTTGTATATTATATTGTAATCTACACCAAGTGTTCACGTGGACTGTAAAGACAAGGTAAACTTGTATATTATATTGTAATCAACACCAAGTGTTCACGTGGACTGTAAAGACAAGGTAAGCTTGTATATTATATTGTAATCAACGCCAAGTGTTCACGTGGACTGTAAAGACAAGGTAAGCTTATATATTATATTGTAATCAACACCAAGTGGTCACGTGGACTGTAAAGACAAGGTAAGCTTGTATATTATATTGTAATAAACACCAAGTACAGCACTTTAAGGGGCCAACATTTGTCTGTGAGTGATGACAACCTCTGTTTATTGTAGTATGTGGTTGTACAGACACACTGTTCTTCCTCCAGAAGTCAATTCTTTATTAAATATGGCTTATTTTTCCTCGAAGTCAGTTTGATAAAAAAGATTCACAGATGAAAAGAACTAATTTTTGCTCAGTATTTTAATTATACCCTCCATATGATCTAAAGCAGAGGGTGTTACCTGGAATGTGTTTGTCTCATCTGTTTGTCTGTCTTGTCATCACTCAACAGCCTTATGTCTAGAAGATCTGGAGCATTTTTAGAGAGCAAATTAGCTTTCTAATTTTTTTTTCATTTTTAGCATTCTTGTCCAACAGAAACACTTCAATTAAAACAAATTCCAGTATGATTTTAATAAACACTGTCAAATGTTAAGGGGCAATTTTTTCCTCTGTTGAACAAAAATTATGTGCCCAAGAAAGTTTAGACCCTATTTTCGTACAATAATTATAAAATTTTATAATTTTCAATGTACTTTGAAAAATGTGTCAAGGGTTAGAGAGAATTATGAGAGGTATTACCAGTAGGACTGGCATCAGGCCTAAGGGGTAATACCAGTAGGACTGGCATCAGGCCTAAGGGGTAATACCAGTAGGACTGACATCAGGCCTAAGGGGTAATACCAGTAGGACTGGCATCAGGCCTAAGGGGTAATACCAGTAGGACTGGCATCAGGCCTAAGGGGTAATACCAGTAGGACTGGCATCAGGCCTAAGGGGTAATACCAGTAGGACTGGCATCAGGCCTAAGGGGTAATACCAGTAGGACTGGCATCAGGCCTAAGGGGTAATACCAGTAGGACTGGCATCAGGCCTAAGGGGTAATACCAGTAGGACTGGCATCAGGCCTAAGGGGTAATACCAGTAGGACTGGCATCAGGCCTAAGGGGTAATACCAGTAGGACTGGCATCAGGCCTAAGGGGTAATACCAGTAGGACTGACATCAGGCCTAAGGGGTAATACCAGTAGGACTGGCATCAGGCCTAAGGGGTAATACCAGTAGGACTGGCATCAGGCCTAAGGGGTAATACCAGTAGGACTGGCATCAGGCCTAAGGGGTAATACCAGTAGGACTGGCATCAGGCCTAAGGGGTAATACCAGTAGGACTGGCATCAGGCCTAAGGGGTAATACCAGTAGGACTGGCATCAGGCCTAAGGGGTAATACCAGTAGGACTGGCATCAGGCCTAAGGGGTAATACCAGTAGGACTGGCATCAGGCCTAAGGGGTAATACCAGTAGGACTGGCATCAGGCCTAAGGGGTAATACCAGTAGGACTGGCATCAGGCCTAAGGGGTAATACCAGTAGGACTGGCATCAGGCCTAAGGGGTAATACCAGTAGGACTGGCATCAGGCCTAAGGGGTAATACCAGTAGGACTGGCATCAGGCCTAAGGGGTAATACCAGTAGGACTGGCATCAGGCCTAAGGGGTAATACCAGTAGGACTGGCATCAGGCCTAAGGGGTAATACCAGTAGGACTGGCATCAGGCCTAAGGGGTAATACCAGTAGGACTGGCATCAGGCCTAAGGGGTAATACCAGTAGGACTGGCATCAGGCCTAAGGGGTAATACCAGTAGGACTGGCATCAGGCCTAAGGGGTAATACCAGTAGGACTGGCATCAGGCCTAAGGGGTAATACCAGTAGGACTGGCATCAGGCCTAAGGGGTAATACCAGTAGGACTGGCATCAGGCCTAAGGGGTAATACCAGTAGGACTGGCATCAGGCCTAAGGGGTAATACCAGTAGGACTGGCATCAGGCCTAAGGGGTAATACCAGTAGGACTGGCATCATGCCTAAGGGGTAATACCAGTAGGACTGGCATCATGCCTAAGGGGTAATACCAGTAGGACTGGCATCATGCCTAAGGGGTAATACCAGTAGGACTGGCATCATGCCTAAGGGGTAATACCAGTAGGACTGGCATCATGCCTAAGGGGTAATACCAGTAGGACTGGCATCATGCCTAAGGGGTAATACCAGTAGGACTGGCATCATGCCTAAGGGGTGATACCAGTAGGACTGGCATCATGCCTAAGGGGTAATACCAGTAGGACTGGCATCATGCCTAAGGGGTGATACCAGTAGGACTGGCATCATGCCTAAGGGGTAATACCAGTAGGACTGGCATCAGGTCTAAGAGGTAATACCAGTAGGACTGGCATCAGGCCTAAGGGGTAATACCAGTAGGACTGGCATCAGTATTGGTTGACATTATTATTTTATCACTTACAGTAAAACTGGTTTGTGTCTAACTTGCTTAAATAGAATACAGTGGATGACTCAGATGTTTCACTCGGTCCCGATGTTGTCCCCTCTTTATATGAGTAAATTTAGTACGGATGTCTCGAAACCTGTACAGTTGAATATAGTGGTTGTATCGAGTACATACTAAAGTTTCCTCTGCTTAAGTCAAATTTTTAAAGGTGCCAATAAGACTGAAGTTAATTGTCTTGTTTTGACGCGGAAGGCCAGATCTCGATCAGCCAGCCATAATGATAACTATTGTTGTTCACTCGTGCAGGGTGACAATTGACCGACTGACCAATTTCTTTGTTCTCACAGGTGAACAAGTGCAAACTTAAGAGTTTCCATGATTTGAACAGTAATAATTTTTATTAATTGACCTAAAAGTCACGAGTGTTGTTATTAAGTGCTTATTTGTGTATCAGGGAAGAACTGAAGAACAAAATAAGTGATAAATTCAAGTATCACACTGTTATGCAAAATAATATGTCACTTTAACCTGTTAATTGATGTGCAGTTTGATAAAAAAAAAAACGGCAATGTTTAATCGTGATAATGCAAATGTATGTGAACATTATTTTACTCTAAAAACTATTTATTTGTGCAGAACAGTACACCTGTGAAGTGTACCTAATGTACGAGTGTGTCATAATGGACGAGTGTGTACTAATGGACGAGTGTGTACTAGTATACCAGTGTGTACTAATGAACGAGTGTGTACTAAAGTACGAGTGTGTACTAATGTACGAGTGTGTACTAGTATACCAGTATGTACTAATGTACGAGTGTGTACTAATGTAAGAGTGTGTACTAATGTACGAGTGTGTACTAAAGTACGAGTGTGTACTAATGTACCAGTGTGTACTAATGTACCAGTGTGTACTAAAGAATGAGTGTGTACAAATGTACGAGTGTTTACTAATGTACCAGTGTGTACTAATGTACCAGTGTGTACTAAAGTATGAGTTTGTACTAATGAACGAATTTGTACTAATATACGAGTGTGTACTAATGTTCAAGTTTGTACTAATGTACGAGTGTGTACTAATGTACCAGTGTTTACTAATGTACCAGTTTGTACTAATGTACAAGTGTGTGCTAATGTACCAGTGTGTACTAATATAACCAGTGTGTACTAATGTACAAGTGTGTACTAATGTACCAGTGTGTACTAATTAATGTACGAGTGTGTACTAAAGTACAAGTGTGTACTAATATACCAGTGTGTACTAATGTACAAGTGTGTACTAATGTACGAGTGTGTACTAATGTACCAGTGTGTACTAATGTACCAGTGTGTACTAATGAAGAGTGTGTACCTAAGTACGAGTTTGTACTAATGTACCAATGTGTACTAAGTATGAGTGTGTACAAATGTACGAGTGTGTACTAAATTATGAGTTTGTACTAATGCACGAGTGTGTACTGATGTATGAGTGTGTACTAATTAATGTACCAGTGTGTACTAAAGAATGAGTGTGTACAAATGTACGAGTGTGTACTAATGTACGAGTGTGTACTAAAGAATGAGTGTGTACTAATGTATGAGTGTGTACTAATGTACGAGTATGTACTACTTAATGTACCAGTGTGTACTAAAGAATGAGTGTGTACAAATGTACGAGTGTGTACTAATGTACCAGTGTGTACTAAAGAATGAGTGTGTACAAATGTATGAGTGTGTACTAATGTATGAGTGTGTACTAAGGTACGAGTGTTTACTAATGTACCAGTGTGTACTAAAATATGAGTGTGTACAAATGTATGAGTGTGTACAAATGTATGAGTGTGTACAAATGTATGAGTGTGTACAAATGTACGAGTGTGTACTAATGTACGAGTGTGTACTAATGTACGAGTGTGTACTAATGTACGAGTGTGTACTAATGTACGAGTGTGTACTAATGTACGAGTGTGTACTAATGTACGAGTGTGTACTAATGTACGAGTGTTTACTAATGTACCAGTGTGTACTAATGTACCAGTGTGTACTAAAGTATGAGTGTGTATGAGTGTGTACTAATGTATGAGTGTGTACAAATGTATGAGTGTGTACTAATGTATGAGTGTGTACTAATGTACCAGTGTGTACTAAAGTATGAGTGTGTACAAATGTATGAGTTTGTACTAATGTACGAGTGTTTACTAATGTACCAGTGTGTACTAAAGTATGAGTGTGTACAAATGTATGAGTGTGTACTAATGTATGAGTGTGTACTAATGTATGAGTGTGTACTAATGTACC